GTGCAAGAGGGCATACATTCAGCACAAGTCAAATGTTTATTTACATCTTCAATGGTTTCTGAGATATATCACTTTGAGTTTTTAAAAAAAATCCAAAATATTGTCCCATGTATCCCAGTTTTTCCCCATTTCTCGTTCGGCACATTGAGAACATTCGGCCGCATGTTGGTCATGATCGAAACAAATTTTGATAAAGTTTATAGATCTAAAGACACATCTCATCCGTGCGCCTTTCTCGATCGAAAATGGAAAGTTATGGGTACGCAACATCTGTCGAGCATAACAGTTTTATTGCTCTCAGGCTGTTTCACGTTGAATCTCCCGTTGAGATAAGATTATTTTCATTCTTGTCTATTTTTAATTTTGACGGCAAAAAGGAGGCGATGGAAAAGAGAAATTAGCTTTCGATAGGTCGTGGATATTTTTTAGTAGAGGTCGTGGATATTTTTTTTAGTCCCCCCTCCCCCCCCAACCCCCCCCCCCCAAAAAACGAACGCAATCTCCCGACAGTGATGAGGATCACATTGTAGACATATTTCGCTACCTCAGAATTACAACGCTGTAGCTGCTCTATACCTAGTTTTGAGACATTTTATGTCATTTTTTTTTTTAGTTTCACATGTCAAGCTTTTTCGAATGTAGCCATCCAGCTGATAGAGCATTTTGCTTTCTGATTACATGGCGTTAGTAACGGCCAAAAATGTCAGAGAGAATTTTGTAATTCTGAGGTGGTGAATTATGAGAAAGCTGACTCCAACAACAAATTAATAACCAGATTTATGTCACCCCCCCCCCCCCCCAAACCCTCCTCCTTTTTTCCAAAACGTAAAAAATAAGTAAACAAACAGAACAGAAACCCACACCGCAGAGTGGACGAGCATGCACGTCAGTGTGTGTGTGTGTGTGTGTGTGTGTGTGTGTGTGTATGTGTATGTGTGCGTGTGTGTGTGTGTGTATGCGTATGTATGTATGCGCGCACGTGTGTGTGTGTGTGTGTGTATGCGTGTGTTTGTGTGTGTGTGTGTGTGTGTGTGTGTGTGCGTGTGTGTGTATGCGTGTGTGTGTGTGTGTGTGTGTGTGTGTGTGTGTGTACGGGTGCGTTCGGGCATGTGTTTGTGTGTGCGTGTGTGTGTGAGCATGTGTGTGTATATGTATGTGTGTGTGTGTGCGTTCGGGCATGTGTTTGTGTGTATGCGTGTGTGCGCGTGTGTGCCGTGCGTGCGTGTAAGTGTGTGTTTGTGTGTAACTAATTTAAAGTTTAGATGCGTACAGAGGAGCACATTGACACGATAATATTATATATAACAGCCAACAATAGGTGCGGGGGAAAGGCAGGCGGCAGGACGTATAATTTAAACCAAAATAAGCCAGAAGTCCTTGTCTGGGCTAAGGGATGAGGGAGAGATGAGCAAAAAGAGAAGCACAGCGGCTCAATACGATAACGGCCATTTATTAGTTTGTTTCAGTAAGCGTTTTGCAACACAATTAGGTCATATAAGTGGCGAAGATCAGTGATGTTACAAGAGAGTAACAATCTCAAAAAAGGAGTAGAGATAAGAAAGAATGAGCAAACCACACCACAGCACCCGTCAACCTCCCACGGTAATTTAGTAGCCTACGAGGAAAAAGTCATCAAACAAAACAGGCAGATCAAACAAAACAGGCAGATCAAACAACAGAGGAAAAGAAAATAGGCCAGTAAAAATTGACATGAAAATGGTGTGAACCCGGCCATGAGAGATAACAACCAAATTATTGCATGAAGTTGTTCTTTAGGGTATAAAGTATATCCACACAAAAATTCAACCAAAATCAACCTTGGGGAACGTGTTTAAATTGAACAAAAAAGCTCGTAAAATGGGCAATGGCAAAAATAACATGGTGAAAAACGCTTTTATGGCGACACCGGTACATAGGATGTCAGCAACACGCTCGTCACAGCGGTTCAATCAATTGCGATCTCAGTGCTTTCTTGTCGTATCTTCTTTTTAAAAAATAGTGAAAACAGTTCATAACTAAGAGGTAGGTTAAGAAGAAGTCCCATTTTCACTGTTAAAAATGGAAATAAGGCAAGAAAGCACCAAGGTCGCGCAATGTGCAAACCCGTGCGGTGCGCTCTGTACGCCCCCCCCCTGTCTTGTTGTGAATCCCTTTTGCGGTGCCTTTTGATGAAATGACGATTAACAGTATTAATTTTGTTTCTTTCGAATTCATTAAACGCTCTTAAAGTTAAGGGATCTAGATCTAAACAAGTACACGTGAAGTATTTTTAGAGCAACATTGGTATATTTATTATTTACGGTATCAACTATTCTATTTGCCTTTAGGGTAAAGGTTTCTTTCAAGCGCGGTTCGATCATAGAGCACGGTCGTGCAGTGCCGCCCAATTTTTTAAAAATGTTCTATTACGTAAAACACCAACAATAATAAAATAAAAGAAGTCAGGAACAAACACTAGCTAAATATTATATAAAAACAAGGTCCTCACTGGGCGCCATAACTGTCATTTCTGTGTCTATAGCGCCGTAAAATATCTACTATGCCATACCAAAGTCCACGCGCTTTAGCTTAACATAATAGGATATTCAACAGTGTAACCTGACCTATAAATCGCTCTTGGGGATAACCCAAGCGATGACGACACTCGTAGCGAGTTTGGCGGTACATTAATATTAATAAGACGGCACATCTCAAATGTGCTCCTGCTGAATAGTTGCGAAACATAGACCACAGTAGGCAGTCTAAAAATAAACACAATAGACCGTACGCTA